GAAGTGGTAACGGGTTTGGCCCTGCTTGATGGGGGGATCCAGGCTGATCTGATAAGGAAGAGAGGACAAGCTTAAGGACCAAACTTCAGATGAACTTGCTATTCACCAATACAGAACTCTGAACAACACTGAGACATCTACTGAAGACACAGGCAAAAACCAGGACCATTTACTCCAGAGGTTTCTGCTTACCACAAAAAACATCTGGCGTTGGTCCTTGTGGGGCAACAAAAAGAGGCGTAGTACAGTGGTATAGGGGATCTTGTAGTCAAAGGTCTTGCCATGCAGGTGCAGAAAGGTAGGGTAGATCCGGATGTCATAACGACCACGGGGAGTCAGACACTGTAGCTCCCGGAAAATGCAGATGGCATCTCCAGTAGCCTGAATTACATCTGCCTTCGAGAGCACATTCTGGGCAAAGGCCTGCAAAAGCACATACCAGTAATCAGGCAGTAGATCACTGCTACAAGGCCAGCCAGCCAAGTCCTCAGCATCATCTGCCACCAAGGCAACCAAGGAAGGCCTCACCTCAACAGGGTCCACACCATCTTCCTGAGTGGGAGGGACATAGAAGCGCACCTCCATGAGAGACACCTCTGCATCATCATTCTGGTGGAATTCCAGTGTCACCTCATTCTTGCCTGTAGTACACTGGGACACATTGCTGAGGGGTATCTCAAAGACCGGCTGGTCACCAATGTCAAAGGAAAGTAGCTGCCCTGTGAGGAAAAAGCTTATCAAGCCACAAGCCACTGCCCTTGAGTATACATAAATAATGTTCCCAGCAAACTAAGTTTCGTGAGGACAGGATACTCAGGCTATTTTGCTCATACTGTACCTGCAAGACCAGGCACAGTGCTCGATTATACAACACAGACTCAATAAATACATAATAAAGACACAAAATGATAGAAAATCAGAGATAGTGGTAGCAGAAAGACAACAAAATAAGTGAAAAGCTGAAACCCTTCATGCTGCCTTCTCCCCGAAACCTCAGTCTTCCTTAGGACTCACCACCAAACTTCACTGTCCCCCAATTCCAGCCCTTCACACACAGATCCTTCTCCATTAGTTCAAGGCGATAGTGAGTTTTGAAGAAATCAGAAAGTTTCTCAAACTCCTGTGGTTGGAGGGGAGAAAACACAAACCTAGTAAACCCTGGTGGCCTTAACACAAGTTCAACATCCCAGGATTATCTATTTCAGAAAAACTGCCCCAATATATCCTTTATCAGAAATCCATGCTAACTCAGTGTCTCAATTCTGAAATCATTGAAAAGATTACTTGAAGAGATGGATCCTGGGAAGTAGACCTCAGGCCAGGGGAGGAGTAAAGGAACTGACATTTCTGGATATGGGTCTCACAGTGCTAAGTTTTTAAACACTGTATAGGTATTGTTTTAATAAAAGTGGAAGTTAAAAACCTTTAAGTTTGTAACTAAAGCAGTTCAAAAAGGAACAAAACCAAATAAGAGCAACAAGCTAAGATTCTGAACGTGGATAAAAACAAGCAGAAACCATTATCTAAATTAAGATAGCAGAAAATATTCTAGAGTCCAGGCACAAAGAGTCTTGCAGGCCTTCAGTACTCAAAGCAAAACACTGATTGTTTGAAGGCTTCACAGCCCTACTCCATGGAGGCCAAACCAGCCAGTGACATAGTTATCAGCTGAAGAAACACCAACTTTTTCTAAAGGTTTAAAAATAAACAAGACGGCACAATAAAATTGTGGGTGAAAGGCATCAGGACTTCTCACCGATTCTCGGAAGCCATCATACTTGTACACATGGCCATTCTTTGTGAGGAGTTTCAGTCCATGTCCCAGAGCTACGCGGCGCCAGATACCCTCTGTCAACTCCCCAGCCTGGATGTTGTCCACTTTGCCAGTCTTGCTGTTCTTGAAGATGATACCCTGGCGGCTCAGCCTTAGCCGACCATCATTCTATCAGAGGAATAGGCCAAATGCAGGAGGATGTACACACAGGATATGTTGGGTACCTAGTTCTACCCTACACCCATTCAGGCTGCAGGGGACTGACCAGATTATCAATGGAGGGAATGTCGGGGGATAGCTATAATAGCCAGGGACACTAAGAAGAGACAAGTGGTCAGGAAGTATGGACTTTAAATCTGGCTCTGACATCCAGAATCCTTGTAGGTTCTCAGTTTGCAACATAGGGATTTAGGACTGAACAGCATACACTTTCCCTTCAAATACCAAGGGCCTATAACTTTTGGGAGTCTTTCTCAGTATTGACTTTTGCTGGGGAAATACCAGACACACAATCTGAGTCTTCCTTTTCCAAAGTAATAACATCATCAACACTAAGTTCTGTTAATGTGCAAAAACTTTCCCCTCCTTCTCTCTCTCTCCACCCGTATTAAGAGCCCAAGCCCTTCTCACCATGGAGCCTTTCACCTCCTGGTAGATGTCGTTGAACTCCAGGGTCTCTGCCATGTTGATCTGCCTGTGATGGCCTGGGCACAGAGCCCTAGGCTGCACAGGGAAATCGAATCAACTGGGAGCTGGGCCCCAACTCCTGGGTAGGTATGCAGATGCACAGCAGGCTGGAAATCTGAATTCAGGAGGAAGACAGGTGCTTGAAAGACATCACCTCATTCTGCTCACAAAAGGAGCCAGGTGGCAGCCCGCTTGGGATGTCTGGGATCTCTTCTGCCTGGGAACCTACAGGCGGGTTCTACAGTACTCCAGGGCCCAGGCCCAGCTCTGGCTGGAGAACCCGGCCTGAAGTGGCGCTTATATCCCAGCCAGAAACCCAATGGTGCAGCCCACCGGGAGCCATGGCAACGAGCAGAGGGACCCCAGAGGCTGCTCGGAGCCTGGACCCCCAACTCCCCGCAGAATGCAGAATTTCCCTCCCAGCGTTCCCACCACTCCGGGGCCCCAGACCCACGGTTCTCCCCTCCCCCTAAAATGGATTCGCCCGCTGCCCGCGGATTTGAACGCGGAACGGTCCATCTCGAGCGTCCCGCGGGGGAGCGGGGCCCGCGCCCTTCTGGGGCCCGGAGACAACGACCACCCACCTCTTCAAGCTGCAGCCTCGCGACGGCCCAGGAGCGGGCGGTGGGCTAGATGGGGGCCGCGGGGGAGGGGGGCGGGGACGGGGGATGGGGGTACGCTGGGGAAGCTTTTCCCGCGTGCGCGGTCCCGCGTCCCGCCACCGGAAGTTGTGTACAGACCATAGAGAGGATGAGCCGGCCGGAGAGACTCGAATTGGGTCCAACGAGGAGACCGTCACATAGAGCGTCGACGACTCTGGAGGACCTGAGGGAGGGGGATTGTGGCGGTTCCAGTTCCCACCCGGATGGAAAGTGATCGGAATATGGGAGCGTGTAAAGTTCTATAGAAAGTTAGAGACGCTTCTTCACATGGAGACTAGGTTCTAAAGGGAAGTTATGTAGTTTCATTTTATGGGACTTGCTTCAGGGTCGTTGTGTGTATTGGGACGATGCTGTGCCCCTCCCACCTGCAAAATAGTTTTCTCTCTTGTAAAAAGTAGTCTGTCGGGCCAGAAGGAAAATACAGGGTTGAGAGAAAGGCTGCTTCCACTGGCTGCGAAGTGCGAAGGGAATGCGGGTGTTGGGGTCTGTGAGTCAGCCTACTGTTCTCAGCTGTACCCTGTCAAGTGGGACTGGATCCTTTTTGAAAATGTGTTCCCTGTCTACACTCAACATCTTCCCACCCATAATCACAATTTATGGATTCCCTGGAAGAGACTGGCAAGTGCCGCATCAAGTTCAAGTGCTGGTGTCAGATTTACCTTGGAGCCAGACTGATTTGAAACCACATCACTGGGGTGGCAGAAACCTGGCCCCCCCTCACATAGTCTCAGGGTGCATCTTGCAAAATCAGAGAAGGCCAGGCCTAGAAGAGGTGTTTATCTACTCGTACCACCCCCCCCCCCATACACACTTTATTTTTTCTACCTCTTTTGTAGATGAGAAAACTGAGACCCAGAGAGAAATTGCTCAGGGTCTCAATGAGTTGGCAGCAAAGTTGGAGACTAGAACCCAGATACCCTTAACAGCAGTCTGGTTCTCTTCCATCAGTCACAGTGGCTGGATGCTCAGAGTGATGGATAATATGTGTCCTGTAGAAAGAAAGAATATTTAAAGTCAAAGTTTTCCTGATACTCATTACACCAGCTTGCCAACTCCATCCTGGGGCTAGGAGACAACAGGAACACCCCATTGCTCCCTGAATGCACAGCTTCAGCCTTGGATTAAATAGCACTCTACACTGCCTAGCATTCTAAATCCAATTGTACTTAATACATATATATTTAGGGCCAGTGCACTTCTAGGGTTTTGAGGAAACTGGTGAACACAATGAAAATAGTCCTAGCCTTCCAGAAGCACATAATTGAAAAAATAATTCAGATAACTTGAGAGTGAAAAAAGAAAAAATAGGATAACTGCTATGCCACAGGCAGAGCTGCAGCCACTGCCAATGCAATTAGAAAGATGTGACTTGACTCTTCACTCACCCTGTTCTGGGAGACCCAGAAATATGTTCAAGAGACCCCTTCCCCAACCCATGCTATTGGAGGCAACTCAGAAAGGGAAGGAATGGCTGCAGAATTGGGTGGAATTAGGTGAACATTCAGAGTGAAGGGGTACTCAGCTCAGGCAGGCTGGGGGGTGGGGCATTGCAGGGGGCTTTAGGGAGAGCACAAAGCAGCTGGTGAGCTTAGATGAGGATGCAGCATATGAGAACCAAGCAGAGACGGTAGAGAGAGTGCAGATAAAACATGAGTCCCAGAGGGCCCTAGCCAGCTGCTTCCCAGGCAATCAGGAGCCCAGGACTGAAGACCCCACCCCTGTGGTGACATCATAGGGGAATGGGGTGGAGACGAATAAAAAGGGTGTCCCCCACCCTGGCCCTGGACTCTTGGCAGTCAGAGTGTCAAGAGCTGAGAGAGAGCCTGGGCATTGGGCTAGGGTTGCCTGGCTTACAGGAACAGGTTCTTCCTCCAGCCCCTCTAAGCTGTCCCTTCCAGGCCTTGATCGCCGTCTCCCTGTCCTGAGAACCTCGCTGTCCTGAGGCTGCCATCAAGCCCCTTCAGAGTGGCCCCAAGCACTCTCAGCATGAACTGCATATCAGACTTCTTTACCTACGAGACCACCAAGTCAGTGGTCGTGAAGAGCTGGACCATTGGGATTATCAACAGGGCAGTTCAGCTTCTGATCATCTCCTACTTTGTGGGGTGAGTCTGTGGTCCCTCAGATCCAAGGACTGGAGGGCGACTTGCTATCCTGCCCTTCCCCTCCTCCCTCAGTGCTACTGTCAAGCTGCTTGGGGGCTTCTTTTCTCTTGGAGGAAACATACATCTTCCAGGGAGCCTTGTTCCAAGGACTGGTCTCTGCTGCCACCACCCAGGATCTGGTCCCCAGATAGATTCTTTCCCCCCCAAAAATCCTCCACAGTTGGAGAGTGGTTTCTGAACACACGCTCCAAGGTATGTGGTCCTTACCCCGGCACTGCCCTCCAACAGGAGAGGTCCCCAGATGATCCATTTCCACTCTCCCTCTCCTATTCCCCGCAACCAGAAAAGAGGCAGACCCCACCCCACATCTTCCCATTCCCTCAGTCAACTCTTTTGGGTCCCATAAAGCAAGGAAGCTCAGAAAGAGGAAAGGGAAGGTGCGGAACCCAGAGAGAAGATGACAAGTTGATCAGGCTGATGTTGGGTGGGAGGGTAGGCTGGGGAGGGAAGAGATCTCTGGATTTGTTTTGGAATGAGGAGTTCCTTTCTGGCTTAGGTGGAAGGGAAAGAGATCTTGGAAAGTCAAGAAGCCCTTGCTCTGGGAGGGCAAAACAAAGGAGGGAACTGCCCCATGAGATGGAGAGAGACACAGGCACAAATAAATTAACAGTCAAAGTGATATTGGTGAGAAGAAAAGTAGTTTTTCTGAACATGGGGTGGGGTGCCTCCCTGAGAATCCAGAATTGCTGTCCTTTATCAAAAAGCGTGAATTCCCAACCTCTGCTTGACTCTGTGGCATAAAACTCATCCTGAGAGTTGCTCAGGAGCCTGCAAGGTCCAAACACTCCTTTCGGCCCCCACTCTTGGAGGTACACATCCCTACACCTACAAACACAAAGGACCATGGGGCAGACAATGGGGAAAATGCACGTTCTGTTCTTGTGGTCATTTCCACACACTGGTGGGCACCAGGAAATGCAGACAGAAACCTTGATGGTTTTCCTTCCTGGAGTGCTCTGGTCTCCCACTGTTCCTGGAGACAATGGGTCTGTGTGAGAGAGACAAGCCACTGGCAATGGAGTTCATGAATTAATTGAAGCAATTCAAAGAAGACGTCCTGTGTGCATGCCCATGCCGGCTGGAGCTGCGTGTGAGCAGGCCTGCTTGCCTGAAGGGTTGGAGTGGTGTGTGAGGAGGCGCGTAGAAAGGTGGGCAGATGTGATTTTTAAGCAATCTTTGCTTCATATGTTTGGCGAGAGCCGGATGGCTTTGGTATGTGGATGTTATAACAAGGCTGTATATCCAGTGCTCCTTATGGGATATCAGGAAGGGATTCAAGCTCTGGGATAGGATTAAATGGCCTCCAATCTCCCTTTCAACACTGAGGCTTTGTGAGAGGTGATGTTCGCAAATGTTCCATGTCTGCATCTACAGAGCTTGACTCAAAGTTGGTTCTTAACCTTCTCTGTCAGTGTGTCTATTTGGTGCCATGCGTGTTTACAGCCACAAGATGGTGTGTTGGTCCAGGTGAGTGCAAACGCTGTCTCAGCACATTCGCACCCTGGCCTGGCCCCCTTGGCTCCAGACAGGAGACTGATGGGGGACCGAGACAGCTGTCTCCTGGACCAGCCCACTCAGCTCCCACTGCCCTTGTCTGTTCCTCATTATGATCAGATCAGATGGGATCCTTCAGTTCTGGGGGCCGGAGGCCAGCCTTCTGGAGGGAGCAGGAGAGGCTCTGTGGCGTCTTGATACCCATCCCCATCCATCTCCCAGCCTGACAGCTCCCCACGGGGCAGTGTTACATCAGCTGCTCAGCTGCGTGTTCCTTGGCCCAGCCCCCTAGCCCGAGCCCATCTCTGTGTATGAGAACCCATGCACTATTGTGACCTTGGGAATCCATTGTTGTTAATTAGCAAAGATGTACCAAGTGTCTCTTCATGCCAGGCATTGGTATGCATGGAGGATAGAACTGTGAACAAAAGCAGACGGGGAGCCAGGCATGGTGGCGCACACCTGTCATCCCAGCGAACCAGGAGGCTAAGACAGGAGGATTGCAATTCCGAGGCCAACCTGGGCAACTCAGGGAGATCCTATCTCAAAAGATAATAAAAATGACTGAGGGTGTAGCTCAGTGGTGGAGCATCACTGAGTTCAATCCCCAGGGCCAGGGGAGAGGAAAGCAGACAGGGTCTTGAAGCTCATCGTGTAAGGCAAGAGGTGGGCATTGAGCCAGTCCTCGCCACCAACAAGTGTGGAATTTCATCTGTGGCTGAAAAGTGCACAGTGCCAGGAGAGCCGCTCCCATGTAGGTGTTTGACCTCAGGGAACTAAGGAAAGGTTTTTCTTGAAACGCCATGTCCAAACCAAGATCTGAAGAATGTCCCTGAAAGGAGCAACCAGGTTCAAGGAGGAAAGAAGGAGGGTCCAAGGCAAAAAACCCGCCTCTGCATAGGAGGGCAGGAAAAGAAGTTCATGGCCGAGCTGAAGGAGCAGAGGTCAGAGTCATGTAAGATGCAGGAGAACATCAGACTCTCAGAGAGCTCTCCTTTTTACAAGAAGTAACAGACAGGAAGAAAGCTACTGGAGCATTTCAACATGTGTGTGAGTGACTGAGGCTGAGAAGGACAGCCTTGATGAGATCCGAGCTGGGAAGACCACCTTGGCCAATCTACCCAGAGCTTGGGGGAGTAGGAGTGGATGGGAACAAAAAGGAAGGAGGGGAATACAGTCTGATGGAGAGATGAGGGCGCCTAGCCTCATAGAATTTGAAGGGTTCAATGCTGTGTTCTTAGCATGTAACTAAAACTTGAATATTTTTTCCCTGTTTTCTGAGCCGGGTAGACAGAATGCTCAGCCTTACCTAGTGGAGTGCAGCAGGAGGTGGCTATTCCTCTGTGCATTCACAGCACCACAGCCGCCTTATTCTCTTGGCACATGCTGTCACCCCCACCTCCAGCCTCAGTTGCTGTCATCACTGGTTTCCTTTACCCACCCCACATCCGCAAGAGGCCAGAATTTACCCCACATTTCTCCTGTCTTCTCTGGGCCCAGGTGGTAATCCCCAGTCTCCTCTGTGGGGTGGGACTTCCTAAGGGCCAGTCCCCTTTCTGGATCCTGGAAATAGAAGGAAATCCTTGGGGCCTGAGTCCCAAGGAAGTGCTGGCTGGTGCTGGCCTGACTTTGAAGAAGCTCCATTTCTGGTGACCTGCAGGGAGGGACTTTTGCAGTGCTTCAATCCTCCATCCCTCAGATGGACCAGCGGTGGGTTAGAGAGTCCCTGACCCATCACAGCCCTGCTCTCCCTGTTTCTCCACTGTACACACAAATCACCAGCTGCACAGCCACCCACTTGGGTTCAGAATATCCAGCCTAATCTCAGATCTTATATAGCCATTCGGCACCTAAAGCAAGTACAAGAATGGAGATGTCAGGTTTAAAGAGAAGAGCCTGAGTGCCACCTTCTTGCCCCCCGAGTACCTCTTGACTGAAGGTAGCACTCTGAACACCTTGTCAGAACATCGGGCAGCAAATTCTGTGGGCGGACCTGTTGGACCCGCCATCCTGCGGTCCAGAGAGAAATGCAACTCTCCTTCCTGCCTGCCCTCTCTACTCGGCAACTCCATAATGATACTGTGGAACACAGAGCATCAGTTAGAAGCCCAGTTCTGACGCCAACTAGGAATGGGACCTCGGAAGCATCCCTTTAGGCCCCTAAGTCTCAATCCCCAGATCTGGAAAATGGGTTTAGGAATACCTCCTCCCAGGGAATTATGTCACCAGGGAGGTGACACACGTCGAATACCTTGCCTGAGACGGTGACTCAGTAATACTCAGTAATAGATGGGACTATTAATATTCCACAGACTCCCCATCGCGCCTCCCCCTTTCCCTCTGCCCAGCTCACACCTTCCTAAGAGACCCCTCTCCTCCAAAACACACAACACACGCTCTTCACACCCACTCCCTGGCCTCCTCCTTGACTCCCTGGGGGTGGACGGGAGGGTGCTGGGATGCTGCTCTGGCCTCCTTCCTGCACATCCCACCTGCCAAGGAGCTGCCACCCGCCTTCCGCTCTATAAATAATAAACCAGGAACTCAAGAAAAAAATAAGTCAGAGCAGCAGAGTAAAATGCCAAGAATTGAAGGCTCAGTCCTGCCCCATCTCCTAAGCCCCAGCCTCTAGAGACGGTCTCAGCCCCTTTGTTCTGGAAATGAAGCAGCCCCTCATTTCCAAGCTGCCCTGATGACATTCTCAGCCCCGTGGGGCTACTGAAATTCTTCCACTTGTTATTTAACTCAGAGAGAGAAGTCTAATGTGGCCTCTCCTCCCCACTGGGGAAAGAAGGAGCCTTAGAGGAGGAGAGGGAAGAATGGGATTGGTTAATTGTTCCTCCGAGTCCTGAGCGCCTTCCAACTGAGACTTTCCTGAGCTCGGAGAAGCTTCCCCTGGTGATGGAGCAGGGGTTAGCAGGACAAGCACCAGGGTCCAGTTCAGGAGGGCAACTGTGCACTGGCTCTGAGCTGGGCACAGCTGAAGATGCTACAGTGAGGTGGCTATGAGTGGTCTGAAGCAGATTGCCTGGTTTGGGACCCACATACCAGCTGTGTGACCTTGGGCAAGTCTGCACACTCCTCTGTGCCTCAGTTTCCTCATTTGTAACATGTAGGTAATTATCAAAGCTGCCACACTGGCAAGGATTCATCAAAGGAGTCAGCTTAGTGTCCCATGTTGGCTATATGATAATGATCTGAACTCTTCTTCTCATCTGCATATGTTCCTGAACTTTAAGGACAGGAGTAGGGGTCTCCAGGAGCCATAACATTAGATCAACACAGAGAAATGTGTCCATTCTGTGGTCAGGTACACTGAGGCTTAGGAAGGGTGTATTTGGACTGTGGCTAACACTCTGGTGAGTGTTCAACATCATCATCAGCCATCATAGCTGGGAGCAGAAAGCCAGGGTCCCGGACCTCACTCCATCCATTCTGGAGGGCCCAGGACCAGGAGCTAATCATGCTGTCTGGATATCTACTCCATTTTTCTATATCAGGATGCTCCCTTCTCTTCTGCTAGAACATAACATGATGAATGAGATCCTAATGAAACTCCTCCCCTTCCCAAAAAAGAAAAGTGCTGGGGAGGTAAGGCACACAGTAGCACAGTGCTCCACAGAGGCCTGGTGTTCGTAAAAGCATTTACAGGCTTGTGAATAACTCTTAATGGCGCATTAATCAGGATGCTGCTGGCTCTAAGGCAGCAACAATAAAACAGGTAACAGGTTTGGAGCCATTTACCAGTGCTGTGCATGACCCCACCCCTTCTCTCCCACTCAACCATTCAGACTTCAAGTAACACTACAGAAAAATGATAAATATGCAGGGTGATTAATATGTTAACTAACAATATAACCATTTCACAATGTATACATATTTCAGAACTTTAATTGCACTCTGAAATATGTAAATCATTGCTTATTGATTAAAAAAAAAAAAAAGAATCCAAGTGAGTGAAATGCCATGTAGGGATCAGCTCCAGATCTTCACACTAAAAACCGAACAAGGAGCCACTTGCAAACATCAGCCTGTGTTTGCAGTGATCATGACCATGGTGTCCATCTTACAAGTGATAGTGACCCTCCCAGCATGTTCTGGGAGCTGCCCCCTCTGCATCTTCCAACAGTGGGGGGACCTTGAAAGTCATCCAGCTCAACCTCCACCGGGGAAGGGGTCTCCCCTTAACACACCTGGAAGGTCATCAACCAGATCTCTTTGGCCTTCCCAGCCCTTCAGTGCCACCACCTCCCACAGCAGCCCATCCATGGCGACTCAATGGTAGTTAGACAGCTCCTGGGCTTGGGATCCTCACCACCCCCTAATAAACACCTCAGGTCAGCTCAGCCCCAGGACTGCCTCTGCAGCCGCCCAGCCTAGGACTCCCACAGTTTTGTCTCAGTCTCCTGCCACTCATCTGATGCTGCTTTTCTACCCCAGTGAGATACAGAAAATGACCCTAACCCAGAATTTCCAAAAATACCTTCCAGAAGATGTCAGTATTTCTTCAAAACCGGCATCTATGCTTAAATAAGATTGGGAGGGGCAGGGGTTGTAGTGGTGGGTAGAGCACTTGCCTATCAGGTATGAGGCCCTGAATTCCATCCCCAGCACTGCAAAAATAAATAAATAAATATTTAAAAATGCAATTAAAAATTAAATTTTAGCAGATGCATTTGTCTGTTGAATGCACAGCATTTTTCAAACTTATGTGATAGGTTTTCTCATACATAGAATGGGGACAGTAACAGCATTTGCTTGCCATTGTGCCATCAGAAACAAACAGAGCATGTCCCTGGCTGGAGGGGGCACTGAACCAGGCTGAGAGTAGCTTGAGTTCTGAGGGCTGCGATGGTGACTGCGTGTGAAATGCAGAGGAGAGAGTTGTCGGGTATGTCTGCAGGCCCTGCTTGCTGCAGGCTAAATCCGGGAGAGTGGTGATGGGAGAAGGGAAGGGAGCCCAACTACAACCCCTGGGTCGCTCCACTGCTTTAAGCAGCAGGGAGAAGCCACTACAGGTAAATGACCACTTGGTGGCAGCACAATTCAAGGAATAAGTTTAATCCCCTGCCCCACCCCCAACCCCATTCCATTCACCTGCCAGGTAAAGAAGCAACCACTGCCCCTCTGTCCTCCTCCATCCTCACCTGACACTTGGAGGGAGGAAGGCTGCCAAGCACTCAGTTCCCAGGGGCCTTTGGTCTTTTTTTTTCCTGAACATCTACTATGTGCCAGGTGTTTAGGATACAGCCATGCACAGAGCTGGGAATGCACATGCTCTGCCCTCTGCCCCTTCTCTCCTGGAAGCCTGCCAGAGAAAGGACTCTATTATCAGCAGGAATGACTGTAAACCAAATTTTTAACAGGGCAACAGCTCTCAAAGGGGTGAACATTTGTTCTTAGGGGTAAAAAAAAAACTCACTCTTTGATGTATAAAGCACAAATATGCACCTGGTACATAAACAGGTATCTGTGATATTGAAGCAGGGAGCAATTATTTTTTTAAAATTCAAAAAAAGCTCCTTGGTGGGGGAAGGTAGGGAAACACTACTTTAAGTCCACCAGGGACTCACTAGGGTCCCACATCTCCAGTAAGGCCTTGTCCCTGTGCTGCCATAATGCTGGCCAAAAGAAGCCCTCTCCCAGCATCTTCTGCTAGGCCTATGGACCCTTGTCTGTCTCTCTGCGTCTCTGCTCTCCTGCCCCAGATGGGTTTTCTTGCACGAGAAGGCATACCAAGTGCGGGACACAGCCATTGAGTCATCGGTGGTAACCAAGGTGAAGGGTTTCGGACGCTATGCCAACAGAGTCATGGACGTGTCTGATTATGTGACCCCACCCCAGGTATGGTTTCCCTACCCTGGGGCCTGTAGATGCTCACATCTGGGGAGGGTGGGGAGGAGGGGGCTGGACAAGAAAAGTGCCCCTGGGACTCCCAAACCCGAATCAGTGGTGTCAGTAACCCGTAGAGGGCCTGTCCCCCTGGTTGCTGGGATTTGTGGGGCAGCTTGGGTCTGACCTCCAGAGTGCAGTTCTGGGCGTCCGAAAGCTGGGTTCCTCTCCAGGCTCCACCTTGACTCCTGCTGCAATCAAAACACAGCACCCACATGGGTGGTCAGAAAGAGCCGTTCGGATCCTAGCTCTGCCCTTTGTTAGCCCTGCCACCTTGGTCAAATCCCAGAGTCTCAGTTTCCCCCTCTGTAGAGTGGGGACAATAGCAGTCCCTGTCTCAAGATGGGGACTGTTGCAGGATTTTCTCTCCCTGCTTCTCCCAAGGGCACCTCTGTCTTTGTCATCATCACCAAGATGATCGTTACTGAAAACCAGATGCAAGGATTCTGCCCAGAGGTGAGGGGACAGAGGAGGTTGGAAGAAGGGGGTCAAAGAAAACAATGCTGTAGGGAGAGGTCGTCGGTAGGGAGGGCCTGGGTGCGAGCCTCCTAGCTGTGACTGGCACCTCCTCCCTCCAGAAGCCGCCACTTTGGGAGGCAGTGGGAGCCCAGGGGCTCACCAGGGCCAGGGAGGGTCCCTCACACTCCTGCGGTCCCATCTCCCCCCAGAACGAGGAGAAGTACCGCTGTGTGTCTGACAGCCAGTGTGGACCTGAGCGTTTCCCGGGTGGGGGTGAGTCAGCCCCTTCCTCACCCCTCCCATTCCCAAGCTGTCCTTGGGGGCAGCAGATCCCTGGGAGCCACCCTAGGAGCAGGCAGAGAACCCGCCTATCAATTCAGCATTTGTGGAGGCTCCCTGGGTGCCAGACCCAGAGGGACCTATGAAGGTGCCCCCAAGAGGAGTGTGAAGTCTAGGGACGCAGAGCCAGGCAGGGGCACAGCTAAGTGGCATGTGCTGTCCAGGGAAGGGAAAGCACAGGAAAGGGAGAGACTGGTTCTGAGAGAGTGGCCCTGAGCCTTCCTGGAGGCAGTGGCATTTGGAATGGGCCTGAAGACAAGTGGGATTTGGCAGGACAGAGATGGCTTCAGGCCAAAGGAGCAGCTCCAGCTCAGAGGTGAGGAAGAAAGAGCTAGAAAGATAGGGGCTCCGGGTGCTGGGGCTTAAGGAGCTGTCAGAGGAGGGTGTGGACTCTCCTTGGTCTGGTCTGCAGCTCAGGAGGAGAACAGGGAGAGAGCTGTACTGTGCAAGCACACAACAAGAAATAGAGGGTCCGTTCCTTGGCAGGGTCCCTGGGGCAGGGGTGGTCTCTGATGAGGAGGGGGAAGGGACTGGAAAAGAGCAGGTGGCCAACCAGCCTCAGTGGCTCCTCCCTCGCAGGGATCCTCACTGGCCGCTGCGTGAACTACAGCTCTGAGCTCCGGACCTGTGAGATCCAGGGCTGGTGCCCCACAGAGGTGGACACCGTGGAAATGTGAGGTCCTGCGCCAGACGGGAGGAGAGAGGACCCCACCTAGTTCCTCTTTGCCAACGTGGGGAGCTCTGCATCTCTGAGCTTATGGAGGGTCTCAATGTAGCGTCTCTTCATGGGGGTGGTGGTGGCCTCTGGGTATCATCCCGCCTGCCCCTTCTCTCCCTTTGACTCTGGAGACCCAGAGAGGCCTTCCCATCACTCCCCTTCATCTATAAGAGGTCTCCCTTGGGAGGCATCCACCAGGGAAAGAGGCTCTTCCTGAGGGCTAAGGCTTCCATCCTCACCCACAGGCCTATCATGATGGAAGCGGAGAACTTCACCATTTTCATCAAGAACAGCATCCGTTTCCCCCTCTTCAACTTTGAGAAGTGAGTCCTCACTTCCTCCCCAATCACCGGGCCACCTCACCTGCCAGAGAATGAGGTGCCCCATGCACCATGGTTCTCTCACTTCCCAAACCCCATCTCCAGGACTCCTAATCCCAGCCTTCCAGCGGCCTTGGCCTCTGACTATTGAGTGGATTTGGAAGCTAACTTCCCTGCCAGCCTCCCTGCCCTGTGCTCAGACCGACCTGGGAGTTTTGTTTGAACCAGGGAGGGGCCATTTAAACTTGGCCCTGAGCACAGATGACTCCTGAGATTGGAAACCAAGGAGCTTGTCCGTTTATCTTTTCCTACATCAAGCCCCCATGTGGTATCCCTTTTCTTAGTCAGTTCAGCCCCTTGTGTAACTCAGTCATTCATGAGGGCATGAATGGTGGGCATCTGCCCTGTGCAAAGTACAATGGCAGGCCTGCAGAGGTGCAGAGTGTCAGGAGTGACTCTCGCCCTCCAAGATGCCCAGCCTGGCAGCTGGGGGACATTGGGCACGGACACACATAACCCTACTATGGATGGAGAGTGTTTGGGGTTAGAAAAAGATGCAGAGCAAGAGGGGAGAGAGAGACAGTGAATACCCAAAAGCTTAGGACATGGACGCCCCTGCCTGGGTGTGGAGAGCCCTGAGCCCCGGAAGGCTGGAATGCAGTTTGTGTGGGGCCATCTTAACCCTGGCCTTGCCTCTCTCCTCTTCTCCCTAGGGGGAACCTCCTGCCCAACCTGACAGCCAGGGACATGAAGACCTGCCGTTTCCATCCTGAAAAGGCTCCTTTCTGCCCCATCTTGCGGGTGGGGGACGTGGTCAAGTTTGCAGGGCAGGATTTTGCCAAGCTGGCCCGCACGGTGAGAACCTACTTCTTCTTCTGTAACCTCTACCAGGGGAACTCAGCCTTTCCCCAGACTCCAGAGCTCTTTGGAGGCAGCCAGGAGACCAGGAAAGAGCTGCAGCAAGACAGTGCCACCTGGTGGAAGTATCCCAGGCCTGCAATTGGCTTTGTCCCTGAACCCTTTCAGCCCCCATCCTACCCCTACCCTGAGTGGTCTCCCCTCCAGTGACCCATTTCCCCCAATCCTCAGTTTCCCATTCCTGTATTTATACATCCCTTTAGGGAGAAGCGATAGAACTCTGAAAAGGGCCACACGAGGGGACAGTGGACCCACGGCCACTTTCTCTATATTGGAGACAAGGAACTGAAGGTTCCAAAAGTAGGAAGGACCCTGAGGCTCCAGGTTCTACCCCTGGCTACAGCACTTCTTTACTGTGACCAGTCACTTTCTTTTCTGCCTGCCTCCACCTTCCACCTACAGAATAAAAAGAAGTCATTTGTCACAAGCCCCTGTCCCACTCTGGCTGAGCTCAGGGGAATGCTCATGTCTGGCCCCTTTCTTCAGGGTGGAGTTCTGGGAATAAAGATTGGCTGGGTGTGCGATTTGGACAAGAGCTGGGACCAGTGCATCCCCAAATACTCCTTCACTCGGCTGGACAGCGTTTCTGAGAAAAGCAGCATCTCCCCGGGGTACAACTTCAGGTAAATCCCGGCTCTCCTGGGACAAGGGGGAAGGGGAGTCAGCTCCAGAGAACTTCACCTCAGGCAGCAAGGCACACTGGGAAGGAAAGATCCTTGGCCCCCTCCCTGCTCCCATAAGGCTTTGGCTCAAACTAGGGAAGGACTCTGTAACAGGCAGCCGCAGTGCTGCATGGGCTGTGCTGTGAGGTGACAGCTCCATTACAGGAAGGGACTGAGCCCAGTGCTCCTGCTCAGGCCATAGTGAAGCCCGATGGCCAAATCCTGATGAAATGCTGGCTGCTGTGATTCCTGGTCTATTCTTAGCACTAACATGTAGAGGTAATGCCCGGACAGCCCCATTCCCTGTCCTATGCCTGGACTTTCTAAGGTCTCTCACTGACCAAAGTAAGGGCAATAACTGTTCATTTTACAAGATGGTAGTTTTGCATTTTGCAAATTTTACAAATTTCCAAACCAGGAAATTTCATGAGTCACAAATAACAAGTATAATGATTATTAGTTCTTCCTCAGTGCCTTTCCAAAGAACTTAAACCAGTCTCTTAATATCATCTAATATGTATTCTCAATAGCCTTGAGACTTAAGGGATCTTTGGGGGTTTTTTCCATTTGGAATAGAGGGAAAGAGGAACCATAGGATACACTATCTGGAATACTTGAAGGGCCTTGGAAAAACCCTCAGCCTCCTCACCTCCTAATTTCCCCTTCTGCAAATTGATGATAGCATCATTATTATCCTGAGAATCCTACCAGCCAATAGTTGAAAAGCTTTAGCTCCTGGTTTTGATTTACCTTTAAAATCTGAAGATCTCAGTTTCTGCCAGGGTCCTGATTAAGTACACAGTGTTGTACACTAAAGAGGCCAAAATTACTCAATAGGCAGTGACAGGGATGATCTACATATGATACATTTGTTATATATTCAAAGAATTGTTCTTCAAATTTCCTTTGTTGTAGTATATACTCTCTGTTATAATGGCATACGTAAGCTAAAAGAATCACATCACTTTTTTTCACTTAATTTGTAACTTTAAAAAATAATTACCTATCCCATTAAGCTTTATATTTAATAGTTTCAAATATATATGTATGTTCTCTGGAAAGAAGAATTTTTAAAAATTGAAATTGCTTTCATAATCAACTCCAGAGTTTAAAAAACCATAGGAAACAACACATATTTTAAAGTAGTTTAAAAATACTGTTTGGCTCCCTGGCAGAAATTGGCATATTTATTCAGTCAGTACATCACACTGAAATCAATACAAAGGATATTTGTATGGTGGCTTAAAATAGTAACACATTAATAAAATTCTCATAATCTAAAATGCAAGTTTTCATCCTCATAACTTCCCTCTGGCCATTGGGGATTCTTCAGTTCTCCAAATAACTCATTTGGCAAGAAATGCTTATGAAGAGTAAAACTATCATGAAGACCCCAACAACTGGTATAATACAGTTTTAGAACAATGTCTTTCATTTAAAGAAGAATGGGTTTGACGTTCTTATCTCTAATTTATCGTGCTGTGGCTATCCACCCAAGTAGTCACAACAGGCCTAAATAAGCTTGGATTGTATTTGGGGACACAAGATGATAGATCTCTAAGGATCTCACCAGTGTAATTTCCGGAACCTAAGGAAACACATCTGAGAGGTATGGGCCTCCAGGAAACTGACTCCTTCATCAAAGCCTCCAGGCCATAGAAGAAGGGGCAAAGCACTCATCTGTACCTTTGTAGTTGAAAAGAGTTTCCAAGCTGGGTGCAGAGGTGCTTGCCTCTAATTCCAGAGGCTCAGGAGGCTGAGATAGGAGGATAATGAGTTCAAAGCCATCCTCAGCAACTTATCGAGGCCCTAAGTAGCTTAGACCTTATTTAGGCCTAGGTCTATCTCATGCCCTGTTATGCTTACTGGGGCAGATAGCCACAGCACAATAAATTGGGGATAAGAACTTCAGACCCATTCTTCTTTAAATGAAAGACATTGTTCTAAAACTGTATGATACCAGTTGTTGGGGCTTTCATGATAGCTCTATCTTCATAAGTGTTCCTTGCCAAATGAGTTATTTGGAACCAGCCTCAGCAACTTAGCGAGGCCCTAAGTAACTTATTGAGATCCTGTCTCTAAAGAAAATATGAAGGGGCTGGGATTGTGGCTCAATGATAGAGCACTCGCCTAGCACGTGGGAGGCCCTGGGTTCAATCCTCAGCACCACACACACACAAAAAAAATAAATAAAATAAAGGTATTTTCTCCAGTTACAACCAAAAAATAATAATAAAAAAAAGAAAATATGAAAAGGGCTGAGGATGTGGCTCAGTGGTTAAGCACCCCTGGGTTCACTCCCCAGTGAGAGAGAGAGAGAGAGAGAGAGAGAGAGAGAGAGAGAGAGAAAGAATTTCCAGAGGGCCCAAGGAATAATACTGACATGGAGGAATATTTGCCATCCATAACGAGCAGAGGGCTCTCCCCAGGATCTCTCACAGCCCTACATCTGGGTGCCCACCCAGCACCCTCAGACTGCCGTCAGCCTACAGGCACCATATTAGCATCCAAGCTAAGTTAAGCACCTATGTGAGAGAGGCACAAGGTCACCTTTCTGAGTGCTCAGATAAGAAGAAAGGGGACCCAAGGCCACATTGGGCACACAGTGTGTTTTCTATGATGTGGTCATTTTATGCTGCTCTTGAGAATCTCACTGTGTAAAGCATTCTGTCCACTTTGGCTAATTGTTCCTCACCCACCCTCAAGATAGGTACAATCCCCAAATGAGGAAATGGAGGATCGCAGAGTTAAATTCATTTCTCAGGACCACAGATCCAGTGATCCCAGGAGCCTGGATACCAATACATTTTCTTAGACGATCTCCACCCCAATCAGGAAGACGAGGGACTTTGTACTTGGTGATCCTCAGAAGACTATGCCTAGATACTTGGTACTTTCAGCCCCACTTAAAAACAAAGAATCTGAGTTCCAGAGAGGTTCAAGGATTAGCAGATGCTGGAGACATAATTTATAGTCTGCCCTTTTGTCTCCCAAACAAATTCATTTGCCTCTTCCTCCAATAGAGGCCAGATTTTTCAACGTCCTACTATTGCCATTTGCTCTGGAGAGAAGGGAATTGTTCAGCCAAGATTCAGTCTTGTTTTAATCTGCAAACTCAGATATCCAGAGGCAGCTAGAGATTCACATTTCCATCACTAATTACTTCTGCAGCTCCTTTCCAAATGCTACCCCCTCCCCTACTTTTCACAGTTCTTTGCCTGCAGAATCAGAGATTTTGAGAATTTTAGGCGTTAAAGAACCCTTGGAGAGGCCTAGACAGAATCCCTCACTGTACAGAGGAGGAAGTGGAAATTCCAAAAGAGGAAGTGACTTGGCTAATGTCCCAGGGGCATGTTAGCATAACCTTGGAGGTCACTGGATCCCAAGTCCTACATCAGTCTCTCTGTGGCACAGCCCCAGATAAGAGGCTCTTCCTAAGGTGACCTGTTCATCATTGGATGGATTCAGTTACTGGCAAGGTAACCTCAGATTGAGCCAAGATGTATCTCCCTTCAATTCCTACCCAAAGTACTTGGTCCTCTTCATCTAAATTAACCTTTATTTGTGATTTCTCCTAAAGTTTCTGCTCATTCTCTACCTAGAATTTGATAGAGAGATTTTATTTTTATTCCTAGGTGCATTCTGCAAGGGTAAAGATTCCAGGAAGCACTTGAACTTACTCTTTATGAAGCCTCTTTCCAAGCACATTGAGAGTGCAGTGGGGTCATCCGGATTTGTAGTGGACAAAGTGTATAATTTCTAAAAATTAGAACTGATGAGAATTGCTAATTCAGTGGTATGCGGTTAAAAGACATCCCCAGAGGTAGGAGGTGGCACCCTGCAGAGTAGACAAGGGGCTCATAACGGTGGGCCAGGTTCCTGCAGCCCAGGTTGACCCTCCATTCACTAGAGAAGATTTTAAACAGAGCAGCCCTCTCTTCCCCAAAGTGCTGGGACAATATATAGTGTCATATGAGCGTGTATGCTCGTGGGAGTTTGTGAGGGAGTGGGGGTGTGTGTTGGTGGGCGAGTGTGTGAGGCTGAGTGAGAGTTTATCAATATGTGAGTGTGTGTGTGCATAGGCCCTGATGGTACAATGACAGATTAATAATACTGTATCTGTCAGGTCTCAGCAGGAAACAGATGGCCCACTCAAATTGGGTAATTTGAGGAGAGTTTAATAAAGGGACTGTTTCAAAGGTATGGGCAGGATGCAGGGGAACCACAAAGGAGAGTGCAGGCTCTGGGGACAGTAACAGAACAGGGGTGTAACGGGGGTATGGCCCAGGTCAGCTCTGCCCAAAGGCAGAGCTGAGGCAGTCTACAGAAGCAGCTCAGGGAGGGAGGGACGCCTGTGGGTGTCCAGTCAAGCCTAACAGCCCTCATTTGTGGAATTACAGCCCCTCACTAGCCCATGGAGATCTCTAGCCATTTTATTCCCCTGGCCAAAGCATGAGCCACTTCCGGGAAAAACGCTCATGCACATAGACATGAGCAACTCTGCAGGCATTTAAAAAGGAAAAGGTCCTTTCTTTTGCAACAGATAAGACATAAATGCATTCTCAGAATAATAAATTAGAGCACTACTGACCTACATGGAGTAGATAGGGGCCTACCCTTTGCTCCTGAGGCCTACTCCTCTTGTAAGAAGTTAGCTTTCTGCACAGTTTAGGATTTTCCTTCTGGTCCTTTCTCTATGTATATGTACTTATGCAGCATAAAATTCCAGGACTTTGAGACCTCTAAAAGCCTATCCCTAGTCCTTAGATTAAAAGTCTCTGAAATTAAGTCTGCAAAGCCTTTCACACCTGTTTTTGTCAAGATTCACAGCTCACCGCACCATCCCATCCACCAAGGTAGACTGAGAAAGGTTTCACAACTTGCCCGAAATGATACAGCCTGCTTAGGAGAAGAGGCACATCAAGACGCAAAGCCAGGGGCCTGATCTATATTCATTGCTT